TCCTAGACCCAGAAGGCCTAGTTTGAGCTATAACTTTTAAACTAACTCCAATTTAAGTAGTTTCATACATGAATCTTTAGGAAACATAGTTTTAGGCCTTTCTTAAAAAAACAGTGCAGGTAAAACGACCTTTAATTAGAACTTCTATAAGAAGCTTACTAATTTATAAAGAATTACTCGAAGAATATCTCGTTTATAGTTTAATAACTAGTTAGAAAAATTATATATATGCGTATGGATGGTAGAACAATTTCATTTGAAATTAATGGCTATAAAAGTTTACAAATTCCTAGGAATAGAATTCAAGAAAACCTTGACCAATAATCAAATTTTAGGTAGATACAAGTAGCGTCTTTTGGACTTTCAGGCCACTAATACCTCTTAAGTTAACCTGAAATGGTTGGAAAAACAACCCTGAGCCATGAAGGCCGTTAAGTATAGTTTTTATAATTTAATAGTCATAACTAAATTTTTAATCAAATTAACAAAAACAAGCAATTATCTTTAATAAGCTTAAAAATCAGAATTTAAACCATCTAATTGTCACCAAATTACCTTAGTCTAGGCATAAGCTTACTAATCTCACATGACAGATAATTCATAAATTCCATCGAGCTGTTCCATCTATTAGGACAATTAAATCAGGTTTTCTTTTTCTAAAATCATAAACTTTAAGACATTTAAACTAACATGGTAACTTTACGCATGTTTAAATATTCAAATGGATATATTTTTATCTATGGATTTTTCTCTTGGGTGCACATCCCACCTTACCAATAGACCAGACAGGGTTCTTCCCAATGCACAGAGGTCTAATAATTCAAATCAGCTGCAATTAACTGTAAGAAGGTTCCCAAGCTATTAGCGTAGGTCTTATAACTCATTCTAGCCCCGGTTAACTTGAGGAGCAGCCTCAGCTAACATTAGGGATTCTTACCTAGCTTAACAGCTTAGGTATCTTTTAGAAATCTTTCTTTCTTTACTCTGAGTCCTTTAGAAGTTTTTGCCTACCTTAGTAGCTTAGGTATCATATCATAAATTCTATGCATATAATATGTCTCCCATTCTTAGCTAATATAACTATTATATAGGCGAGATAACCAAGCTTAAATCTTATATTTAACAGAAGCATCACAGATGATTAGAACAAGGTGCATCTCATAAAACATGGCATTGGCATGTTAAATACAATAATCATAGCATTGCAATTATTAGTAAATAAAGAATTCTTCCTGCGTGCTTCAGTTAAACACATAAGATACATAGTTCACTCTTGCATGTCATTAAGCCCATTAACATGCTACAAATCTATTCATCACATCTTTCATCTCATTATTTTTTATAAAAATATAATTGTCTTAATAATTGGATCAATTACAATGCAAATTATATCCTATGATATATGCTATGCAGGAAATATAAAACAAGTTTGGAAGGACCTATGATACTAACATAAAGAGCTAATGTTCATGACAAGTAGGACAATTAAGTACTGAGAACCTCTAAATATTAACATATGTCATAAGGGCATCAATGGTGTTATGTAAGGACATAGAAAGATTACCTTGGAGCTTTGTGTACACTGCTGGTAATTACACCTATTTTACCACTTCGTCCTAACACAGAAGAAACATCTACCTGCATTGCCACTATGGTACTTAAGTCATGTAATCTAACCTTAGATGCCCTTCCATCTTCAAATCCACCCAAAGCCAACTTCCTCTTCCTTTTCCTCTCTTTTTTCTTACTTAGTGATGAGACCAAATCCCTACCAATTCTTTTCCATGTCTTCCGCAGAACATGAACCTTCCCATTTGTCATTTTGGCTAGATGACAAAGAGGAATATCCCCAAGAATAAACTCCAACTCCTACTGTTGTGAGGAGTCACTCCCTAACTCTATCTGTTTGCTTGTCTCCACCACAGCCTTAACTGTAGATGTCTACTCTTTATGGATTGGGTGGTTGTCATTGCATAATTGCCTTTTAGCCACTCCAGCCTCTCAGTGGTCTTGGTTCCTAATTAAGGACTCCCCTACCAATGGAGAATCAGATTTTTGTTT